TTGCCATAGACATTAATGTTAGGCGTTAAGTCTGTTCTGTTGTATAACGATCCCCTGTGACAGAGAAGACTTCCTCAAAGGTTTTGCATAGAATTTCCTTTTTTTTTTCTTTTCTTTTTTTCCACTTTCACGGTCTGTATTCGTACTGAAAATCAAGATCAAGCGAGCTTTTGCCCTTCTGCTCCACGGGAGGTTTCTGTCCTCCCTGAGCTCGCCGTCCTACACCTGCGTTACCGTTTGACAGGTGTACCGCCCCAGTCAAATTCCCCACCTGGCACTGTCCCCGGAGCGAGAATTTCCTATTTTTATACAAACAGAAGTTCAGGTCTTTCTCTCATGTTGTTGTTGGGCACCACAGGGTCACCCTTGAGTCACAACAATCCTAGAGGCAACAGATCTGAACCCTATCCTGTGTCATCCTCACCATGGCGGCCATGTTCAAGTGCACTGTTACAGTCACTGTATCAATCCCCCTCCTAGTCACGGTACAGGTGAGAAGACCCTGGTGTCAGACTGGACAGAGGTGGTTACCACCTAGGCCAATGGGGAAGGAGAAAAACTGCAGGGTTGGAGGGGGGAAGGCGGAGAGCCGAAATGAGGATATGCCTTGGGAAGCCGCCCTGGGAAGCAGGCTTAGCCCTCACAGAGCAAGAACAGCTTCCTGGAGCAGCACAATCATCAATACCAGCACTGCCCAAAAGAGCCCACTCTAGAAAGAAGAGAAAGCTTGTGGACCACTTCTTCCTCCTCACCTATTTAAAGACAATGGGAGATGCAAGTAATTACTCTCCATCCCATGTCTGCAGATGAGAATCTGACAAGTGCCGTCGAGTCATAGGCAACTCATAGCGACCCTATGAATGAAAGACCTGGACACCTATATAACTTTCATCCTTTCTCTAGGTTTGTAGGATTTCCAGAGGCAAGCTATTATAGAAGTGGATATCACTCCTGCTTCCAAGCTTGCTTTTATCGGGGAGCTCCACCAAACACTGTCCACCATAGGTAACCATTCTCGCCTTTGACTCATCAGTGTCACAGTGTTCAGATTCACAGCAACCACGAGTTACCTCTGTCCAGCAAGTGGACAGACCAGGGTTACACGACCTAGCTAGTGCCTATAGCAGGCTCCACCCTTACTTAACCCTTATTCTAAGGGTCAGGGCCACCCACCCACCTTTAAAGGGCAAAAAGAACAGTAACACACGAGGAAAAAGACCCCAGAAACTTCCCTTGCCTGACTGCCACCAAGAGGAGCCTCCATGGAGATGTCAGCCATCCCATCAGGTAGCCAGCTGACTTCCAGAGTGGAGGGAGACTCCAGTCCCCAAGTCTCGAGAATAAGCTACTGCCTGGAGTAGGCTCCAGAGGCGCTGCAGGCTCCACCCTTCCTTACCCGAGAGCTTTGTAATAATAAGGCAATAATGGAATCATGCCCTGCAGCCCTTTTGTACTTGCCAAGTTGTTGACTTGAAGTAAAGAAATTGCCTTAGCATTTCTCAGTGCTCTGGAATAACTGAAGAGGAGGTGGCAATGAAGAGAGAAGCACATCCCCAAAAATGTTACTTCTATTATCTATGAAGTGTCAGGTGGGGATGGACAATGTTTACAGACAAACCCACCTTTTACCCCATTCTCCCTGTAGGGCATTTCAGAAGATTTTTACAAAGCACTCAGATACCTGAGTTATCAGCTGTTCTGTTTCCCAAGCACAAGAGACCATTATCTCACCTGCCAGGGAACAAAATAAGAAGGAAAACATGAATGCAAACCTACAATTATCCTGAATCTCAAGGTGCTGGCTTATCAAAAGCAAATACAGCCACTCTCACTGCTACTGAGCTGACAGTGACCCTGTCAAGTTCAGAGGCTGGAAATCTTAATGGAAGGAAACTGTGGATAGTTCTCCAGTGGAGTCATTGGGTAGATGGGAACTGCTAATCAGATGATTGTCAGCACAACACACCACAGACTTTGCTAGCGGAGTTTCACAGTAATGTATATAATTCAACTTGCAATCCATTTATCAACTATTGTAATTTTGAATAAAATAAACAATCTCGTTGTAGATAAGCCCCTGTACAAAGTAGAGATAAGTTTCCTAGTTGGTAGGAAATATGCCTGGGCAGTCTCTAATTAGAGGTTAATTCCTTTGGCTTAGCCTAGATCTTCTTTTAAGACTGCAAATGTTACTCTGCTTTAGGGTGATTTCTAGAAATCTCTGCCTTCTCTCCTAACTCAAATCATACAAGGCACTGGAGAAGAGATGGAGTGTTTCCAGCATGAGAAAACAGGGTGGGACATTTTGGAATGTGAGACATTGATGAGATGTGCATCCCAGGCCTCAGAACTGAGAAGTCGGGATTAAGTGGAAGAGCTGGGCAGAAGGGAGGAAACTAGAGTGAAAGGGCAGAGAGAGAGAAAGAGATAGAGATGGACATGGAAATGGAAGGGGGGAGGGGGAGAAAGAAGGAGGGAGGGAGGGAGGGAGGGAGAGAGAGAGAGGGAGAGGAGTGAGCAGAGCTGTGGAGGACCAGCCACAGAACAGGGAATCGCATCACTTCTATACGTGAGAGTATACACAGCAGCTGGGCTGTGTGGAGACCCAACACTTCTGTTCCAACAGAGCTTTTTCATCAATTCAATCAGATCCATTTGGGGACCAGGAAGTTGGACTAAAATGATCTTTTTCCCACTCTGAGTTTAAAATCCTAAAACCAAGAGATGTTTATTTTCACTAACTTTTTAGCAAAATAATAATAATAAAAAAGACAGTGTTGGAGAAGTTACATAGAAAACAGACATCATTTTGTGTGTGTGTGTGTGTGTGTGTGTAAGCACAATTAATCCACTAAGTCGTTTTAAAATGTGCTCACATTTTAATTCAGAAGTTTTATTTGTAGGAATCTTGGCTCCATAGTCAACAGTCTTGGCACCAGCAGCCAGGAAATTAAAAGGCGCATTGCAATGGGAAAGTCTGCTGTTAGGGACCTCTCCAAAGTGCTGAAGAGCAATGGTGTCTCTCTGGAGACTAAGGTGCGTCTGATACAGGCCATGGTCTTCGCAATCACCTGTTATGCATCAGAGAGTTGGACAATGACCAAGGAGGATAGAAGGACAATTGATGCCTTTGAGCTGTGGTGCTGGAGAAGAGTATTAAGAATACCATGGACTGCTAGGAAAACAAACAGATTTGTCCTGGAAAGGGTTAAACCAGGTGGCTCCTTGGAGGCAAGGATTCTGAGGCTCCGTCTAACATACTTTGGACATGTTGTGAGGAGAGACCGGACTTAGAGAGGGACATCATGCTTGGGAGGGTGGAGGGACGGCGCAGGAGAGGAAGGCCCTCTATGAGGTGGATTGATTCAGTGACTGGGGTAATTGGGATGGGAGTGTCAGAGACAGTGCGATTGGCGCAGGACAGAGCGGAGTTTAGGGCTGTTGTACATAGGGTCGCTATGAGTCGCAGGCGACTCGAAGACACATAACAACATCTTGTAAAAGTATTAGCACAAGTATACAAGAAACATGTGAGAGTCCATGCCCCAGACCCATGAAGCATCAGGTGGAAGACACAAGCCAGTCATGACCATCAGGTCAGTCCCAACTCACAGTGACCCTCCCCAGACTCCCAACTTTATGAACTCCCATCTTTCTCCTTAAAAGCAGCTGGTGGATTTGAATCGCTCACCTTTCTGCTAACAACCTGATGTCTTATGCATGAGACATCTCGTAATGTCTTTACTAGGTGGAGGGTTACATTACTCGCAGATTAAACATAAATATCATGGAGTTATGTTGTTATTGTTACATGCTGTCAAGTTGGAAGGGACTCATAGTTGACCATTCTGTGGGTTTTTAGAGGCTTTAAATCATGGGAGGAGACTGTCCATCTTTCTCTCACAGATTTGAACTGCCTGGCTCTGGGTTGGCCACACAACCCGTTAATGCTAGGCCACCAGACGGAATGAGTCTATGTATACTGACTTGCTTAGAAGGAGGTATGTAAATGGTTGAGTGAAAAAAAAAAATTGAAAAATGATGTGTATAGGATGATCAAAAGTTTGCATTGAAACAATGGATAGATGGAAGAAGAGAGAGAGAGAAATAACAGGAAGGAGGAAGAAGACATGAAGGAAGACGGAAAGAAGATAGAAAAAAGATGACTAAGAGAGACACAAGTGCATCCAACAAATCATCCAGGCTTCTCCACTGGGCTCTGACTGATGGACAGTGGGGAGCAGACTTCATTTCAAAATGCATACATGCTCAGATTATACAAATATTTGATAAGGATAGTCCTTTCATGATTAAAAAGTAATTTTAACTGAAAGTATATGGTGTTTCACCATTTTAGGCCAAGTGAATGAGACACTTCAAAGACCAACGCTGAGTTTCTAGTCTAGTCTTTCCCTGGCTTGATAGATAAACCTGTGTTTATCATCTCTCTGCTGGATTTTGGCTTTCTTTCAAATTGCCTTCTAGGAATAAATATGTGTAAGAAATCAATGAAACGAATTCAAAGAAAGTTCTTCTCCTTAATCAAAACACCTCCTTCAAATCCCTAAGAGAGGAGTTCTCAAACTTCAGCTGCACCACAAACTCCTGCAGGGCTTCTTAAAACACAGAAGAATGAATCCTTGCTCAGAATATCTGATTCATTTACATCTGTGGAGGGCTCTAAGAATTTATATTTCCACCAAGTTCCTTACGCAACCAAGATGCTTCTGGTCCAGGAAGTGTTTTCTGAGAGCCACTGTTTTAAGAGTTCAAAACTTTTAGTCAAAGATAAGCAGTAATGGGAGCCAGGCTTGATAAGGACCAGAATCAAAGGTGGTTACTTCCTGTACCATCCAGGTGGGCAGTTTCCTTACTCACAGAGCCTAAACTTGCTCGAGCATCAGCCACAAGCCGATTCGCCCTCTTAGACTGTGACCTAGAGCTACAAGACACCAGCACCAAGAAGACAAGCTGGGAACCTTGGAGAGACGAAAACTCACCTTCAGTGAAGATGATGTGGTCATTGCACTCCTCAGCACTACAGGAACACATGAAGAAGGTCTCACCAGGCACTTTTTTCTCCTTCATAATACACTTTTCAGAAGTATAATCTTCCAGAACAAATCCATGGTAGCTGAGCTGCGGTTCGTGGCACACCGTCTCTAGTGTTGTGTTCTCATCATTTTTCCTCCTAGGGTGCAAAAGGGTCAAGGGAGGGGAGAAAAGAGAGAGAGAATGGTTTTCATTTGACTGCATATTTCATGGATAAAGTTGTTTTCTAACAAGTACAGTGGGTCCCAGTGGTCTGACGTGAGCAGGCTGCCCCTCTGTCTCTTGTGTGTTTTCAACTCTTCACAGTCTTCCCTTTGTTTATTTTCAGAACTTACAATGATAAACGAGAGGGCTGTCCTTGGGGACTGTCCTGGAGAATTGCACACATTAAGCCTTACTTAAGTCATTAAAGAAGAGGCACTTGGGAGGAGGAAAGAAGAGTCCTAGGCCCTCTGGGTTCTTCTAAACCTTCCATCCTGGGTGTTCTGCAAGATTTACACTACACTTTATCTGGCAGAATCCAGCTGAGGTCTAGCCAGACAGTTTTCAAGGAAGATGCCTGGGAAAGTGATGGGGTCCCTCTGTTTCGTTTGTTGTTGGGCCCCAGGGCACTGTGTGAAGACATATCCCATGTTGTAAACAGGGAAGAAGCCTCCAGGATAAGAATGCTTCCCAAACTGCATATGGGAACAGTTGATGGTGAAAAAAAAAACATTAAACCAAAACATGTGGGAAGAAATGATAGGATGTCATTCACATAAAGTTCAGTGACATATTTTATATTTAGTATCCCTTAACATCCTATATTTGGATCCCAACCCAGCTAAGGGCTCTAAGAATCTCACAGAGCCCAGGAGAGGGTGAATTCAGCCCCAAATGATATGGCAGGCTCGATCGGTTTTTACAAGGAAACTCTCTTAAAGAGGTGATTCTCTTTGTTGTGTACCATCGAGTTGGAATCGACCCATAGCTGACCCTCTGATGGGTTTTCAGAGGCGGTTAATTACACAGGAGATTGTCCATCTTTCTCATGTGGAGCAGCTGGTGGGTTCACTCTGTGTGTTTTTCAGAAAGAGTAGGACAGGATTCTAAGTGTGTGCATACTCCATCCCCCACACCTACAATCTCACTACAAACAGCAAGGAAAACCCAAGGCAGACTCAGTGACAAAGGGTAACTAACTAGAGTGTCACCTTCCAAAGTCAAGTTCATTGAAGGACATGTCAAAAAGGTGATTAGAAGAGTGGAGTATGGGATGAGGATGGAACAGACAGCAAAAGGGGGTGGGTGTTTATGGTGTCCACACTGCCAGAGGTGCGTGTGCCCCACAGGAGAGAACCCAGGGTCCAAAGCTGCAATGGAAGCAGAGGCTTCCACCTGTCAGAGGGAGAATGGTAGGAGGCGGGCTCCTTCCTCTTGGGAAGCTCTGACGGAATGAAACGGTTCTCAAACGGACATCATCAAGCACTAAATGAGGTTGTGTTTTACTTAGACCCATTTCAAACTCAAAAGCTATTGAACAGGTCTTGCAAAGCTGTGGTGTGTGGACATCCATGTGCCATTCAGCTCTGTGTGCTCGTGGGCACGTGTGTGCAGGGAGGGGCTGTATGCTGCCTGTTTAAAGGTTTAAAATAAAGACAAACTGTGCTCCTTCTGCTCCAGGAATAAAAACAAAAACAAAAACCCACAAACAAACAGCAAAAACAAAATCCCAGCGCTTCTTCCTTATGATTTTTCTAGAGTTCAAGGAACAGCATGTGGAGAGGAAACTCACTAATTCCTTGAACTGGGTGACTTCCTCCAGTGACTCCTCCACTCTGTAACAGAAGCCCCTTCCAAGAAGTGACTTTGCAAAGCGCCTCTGCATACGACTGAGCAGAGGATGGGAAAACACAATCTCATCAAGTGCACAGAAAGCTCGCCTTCCAGACCCTGTGCGCCTGCCCTTCAACGTCTTGGAACTTTGCCTTGACTTTGAAATGCCTGAACTAGCCCCTACTTGCAGCAGTTTTCATCACAATCACCCATGGTGCGTTTTACAAATCATTAAGAAGCCAGGAGCTTTTCTTGCTCTAAATCCCATTCTGACGGAGCCGATTCTGACCCTCGGTGACCGTTGCCTACACCGTATTCAAAGCTGTAAATCTTCACAGAAATAGAACGAAATGTCGTTCTCCTTCGCAGCAGCTGGTGGGTTTGAACTGTTGACCTTTCTTAGCCGTTAAATGCCTTGATCACAGAACTATCAGCGCTCCTTCTCAAACTAAAACCCAAACTCAGTCCACTCTTATGGAGCCCATTCTGGCCATGGCGACTGTCCACTGGCTCTCTGAGGTTCTTGACCAGGGCAGGCTGCCTCAACGTTTCCCCACGCAGTGACCAGCGGGTTCTGACTGTTGACTTTCGAGTCACCTGAGTCCTCATCACAGCTCAGATTCTCCCTCTACTTACTAGACCTTCAGTCTCTTATTAGTGTCCCCTCTTCACAAAGGAGGCCAACAAGCAGGGCGCTGATCCCACTAGCCAGTCCTCTTCACATGGACCAACCAACAACAAAACAACCAACAAAGACCAACCAACAACAAAGCCCCGCCACTGCCACGGAGTCACCTCGGACTCCCGGTAATCCTCCATCAGAATGTCAAGGCCCATCTTTGGTCCAAAGAGGAGAGTGACCATCTCTGTCCTGCAGAAAGGCTGGTGGCCTTGAACTACAACTCCTCTCAGTGGAAGATAATTTCTTTGTGGTGTCAGAGTGCATTCCCAGAATTAAACATTCCCAGCAACTTAGAGGAATGGATTCCTTGGAAGGGAAATCTTACAAGTTAAATCACAGTATCCAACGCTACCAGGCTTTCTCATTACCTACACCCCAACGTGTTATTGTTGTTTTTGACTGCTTTCAAGACAAGCGTGACTCATTGGGACCCTATGAACAAAAGGCCTGAAGCCGCTCTACAACTATCGACATTTATCAAAGTTCATAGAGTTTCCCGAGGTAAGTTGTTTAGGAAGTGGAAGCCACTCCTGCAAGTAAAAACATCAATGTATCTTCTTTATAGGCAGAAGGGAAGAGAGGTTTCTTCTCTCTTCCAAGCTCACCTTTTCTTCAAAACTAGTAGAGACACCACTCCAAAGAGATTTGATTTGTATTCAATGTGGGTTTACATAATGTGTCAAGGGACCGTATCTGAATGAAGGGGTCCTCTTGTACGGAGCAGACGTATGTTCTCAGTCCACGCTGGGTCTTTAAGGTGATTGTTGGGCAGCAACGCCGTGGCAGAAGCGTTGAGGGCATCGAATGTCATGGCTCATCCTTTCCTCCACTGGATCTAACACGTGGCCATCCAGCCTCTGCTGAAAACTGTCTCTGTCCCCGCACTGGGGAACCACAACAGTGAAATTGCTCTCCCTTGCACTAATACAGTGTATCTCCTTTAAGTTTTATGGATTTTTCTTCTACTCTCCAGAGTTGTGAAGAGCAAGCTTATTACAGTTTCCACCTAACGTCCTTCAAACAACTCTGCAAAGAACTCTCTTCCTCTCTTTACTAGGCTAACCATACCTAATTGGCTCATTCCTCAGACGGCATGTTTTCTAAACCTCTAATCACATCAGTCCCTTTCCTCTTATTGTTGTTGTTGTTAAGTGCCGTCAAGTCGTAGGTGACTCACAGTGACCCTATGAACGAAAAATCTGGACACCTGTATAACTTTCATCATTTCTCCAGGTTCATAGGGTTTCCGGAAGCAAGCTATTTCAGAAGTGGATACCACTCCTGCTTCCAAGTTTGTTTTAATCAGGGAGCTCCACCAAACACTGTCCACCATGGGTAACCATTATCACATTTGACACATCAGTGTCACAGTGCTCAGCTTCACAGCAACCACAAGTTACCTCTGTACAGCAAGTGAACACACCAGGGTTATAAGACCTAGAAGAATGTTTGAACTAAAACAATG